TCTTTCGGCTATGCTCCTGCGGAGTGCAGGGGGTTGGACTAGATGACCTGCAAGGTCCCAGTTCCAACTCTAACATTCTATGATTCGATGAAGGCATTTTCTCCAGGTGAACTGATCTCTGTTGCTTGGAGATTGGTTGTAATCCCTGGGGATCTCCGGCCAGCAACTGGAAGTTGGCAACTCTATTCTTTCCATCCACCTCCTGTTGGGCCTTCCTCTTTCTTCCCTGCCGCCTTCCACGGTTTCCTTGCATGATTGTCTTTTCTATTTCATTTATTTATTTATTGTTTTCAATTTATATCCCGCCTTGCCAGGCGAGAACTGGCTCAAGGCGGCGTACAAACATTAAAATGCAATAAAACAGTAGGTGCAATAAAATACACACAAACCACCTACGTAACATCATAAAAAGGGTTCACAAAGACGGTGCAAGTGATGGCGGCATTCAGTAGACAATCCCATAGTGGAAGGCACTATACCCCACTGAATACCCTCCCCTCCCCAAACCCCGCCCCCAAAATCTCCAGGTATTTCTCAACCGAGAGCAGGCAAGGCTACTTAGTGTACCTGTGTGTGCCGACACCCACGCTGGGCATCTCTGATTCAAAGTTGGTGTCCAAAGGCACCTTTAAAGTTGGTGTCCAAAGGCACCTTTAAAATAAAAAGTATGGCAATCTGTGGACCGTCATTGACGTCATTAGCACAGCGAAAGGGTTAACTAACCGGACAAGGACGGGGCGCCCATTCTAGCACCCAGCGTTCTTTTCCATTCCTTTTGATTTCCTGTAACTTTTCTTTCACTGTTGATTTCCTGCGCTAATGGGAGGCGGGCCGCTTAACTGCAGAAATAAACAGAGCTCTGTGTTTTGGGAAGGGAAGGAACCCTTCGCGTTCCCAGATACAACAATCCGGGTTTCTCTGGCAACCGGCGAGGGCCTCTAACAAAGGAAGCCAGAGCCAAAACACAAAGCCAGGAACTGGTAAGTAAGAGGCATTGTCTACACCACAAACAAACTGGTTTAACCGTTATGAGACCGCCTCTGAGAATCCTTGCATGGAGCAGGTGGTTAAAGTCGTGGTCTAGGGTCTGGGAGAAAGGGTGAGAGGAAAGTCTAATGAAGGGCCAATATTAAACCTGTCATGTTTCTTCCCTAATTCAGCAACTGTGCATTTGGAACGAGACACATGATTTTCACTTTTTGAGGCCTCACAAACATCTTTGACTTGTGTCTTGCTGCTTAACCTTCCTCTTCCTCATCCAATATTCACTTATTGGTTATCTTATTGCCAGGGGTCATTTCCTGCAGAAGCGCATAGGTGCGGAACTCTGGCAGTAAAGAGCCCAGGGGGCGGGCACATGCAACAAGCCCCACCCCCTGCTCCAGCAGCCCTCAGTCAGAGCAAGAAGCAGCCAGGTAAGTTGCAGAGCCCCCCCCCCCAGCCCAAAACAGTCCAGTGGCACCTTTGAGACCAAGTTTTATTCACGTACAAGCTCTCCCTCCTCTGTGAGGACAGATCTGCGCGTCCCCCCCACCATAGCTAGCAATTCAAAACAGTCCAGTGGCACCTTTAAGACCAAGTTTTATCCAGGTACAAGCTTTCCCTCCTCTGTGAGGGCAGATCTGTGCGTTCCCCCACAACAGTCCAGTGGCACCTTTAAGACCAAGTTTAATTCAGGTACAAGCTCTCCCTCCTCTGTGAGGACAGATCTGCGCGTTCCACCCCCCCACAGCGCAGACACCCGAACAAACAAACAGATCAGCGGCACCTTTAAGACCAAGTTTTATTCAGGTACAAGCTCTCCCTCCTCTGTGAAGACAGATCTGCACACCCCCCCCCCCCAATAGCTAGCAATCCAAAACAGTCCAGTGGAGCCTGAGCGGTGGGTGTGGCCTTATGACACACTTCCGGTGATGTTAGGGTGTGTGGCCTATGCTAATAAGTTAGGCTAATGGGTTATGCTAATGAGCTCCTGCACCTCTTTTTCTACGAAATGACCCCTGGCTATAGGATTCCCTATTACTATGAATGGGAGTGAAAGCTAGACAATGAGAGTTTCAGGTGGGTGTCTGTATTGGTCTGAAGGCACCTCGAAGACCAACAAAGTTTAATTCTGGGGAGAAGCTGGATTGAAAACTTCATTTCCCACTAGAGAGCTCTGGCACTTCTTTTAAAAAAAAAAAGAGAGAGAGAGAGAGGGCTCTTAGTGCCACCTCTGGCACCCGTGCCATAGGTTCGCCACCACTGCCCTATATGGTCGGGGGTCTGTCTACTTGAGGGACCGCCTCTCCCCATACGTGCCCCAGAGAGCACTGAGGTCAGGGTCGCGAAACCGCCTGACTCTCCCTGGCCCGAGAGACGCCAGGTTGGCCGTTACTAGAGCCAGGGCCTTTTCAGTGGCGGCTCCACACTGGTGGAACAAGCTCCCGGATGACATCAGGGCCCCGCGGGACCTTTTACAGTTCTGCAGGGCCTGCAAGACGGAGCTCTTCCACCAGGCTTTCGAGTAGGAGCCGCCACTGACAAACGAGCCACCGGAACATACCACGGCCCTTATGATACACCGTTGGAAAGTGCCTTCCACGATGGGATTGTCTACTGAATGCCGCCGCACTGTCTTTGTGAACCCTTTTTATGATGGTACATAGGTTGTGTGTATTTTATTGCACCTACTGTTTTATTGCATTTTAATGTTTGTACGCCGCCTTGAGCCAGTTCTCGCCTGGCAAGGCGGGATATAAATTGAAAACAATAAATAAATGAAATAGAAAAGACAATCATGCAAGGAAACGGTGGAAGGCGGCAGGGAAAGAGGAAGGCCCAACAGGAGGTGGATGGACCGAATAGAGTTGCCAACTTCCAGGTGCTGGCCGGAGATCCCCAGGGATTGCAACCGATCTCCAAGCAACAGAGATCAGTTCACCTGGAGAAAATGCCTTCATCGAATCATAGAAGGTTAGAGTTGGAACTGGGACCTTGCAGGTCATCTAGTCCAACCCCCCGCACTCTGCAGGAGCACAACCGAAAGACAGCCCTACAACATACCCGAAAGATGGTCGTCCAGCCTCCGCTTGAAAACGTCCAGCGGGGCCTCTACCCCCTCCTGAGGCAGACTGTTTCACTGCTCAACCACTCTGACAGCTAGGAAGTTTCTCCTGATATTTAGCCATTATCGACTCCCTTGTAATTTCCACCCATTAGACCTAGTCTTGCAATCTGGAGCAAGAGAGGATAGATCCGCTCCATCTTCTACATGACAGCCCTTCAGATACTTGAAGACTGCAATTGTGTCCCCTCTAAGCCTTCTCTTTCCCAGGCTGAACAGACCCAACTCTTTCAGCCTTTCCTCATAAGAACAATAGAATCATACAATCATAGAACGCTAGAGTTGGAAGGACCTTGCAGGTCATCTAGTCCAGCCCCCTGCACTCTGCAGGAGCAAAGCCGAAAGAGAGCCCTACAACATACCCGAAAGAGGGTCGTCCAGCCTCTGCTTGAAAACGTCCAGCGAAGGAGCCTCCACCACCTCCCGAGGCAGACTGTTCCACTGCTCAACCACTCTGACAGTTAGGAAGTTTCTCCTGATATTTAGCCGGTATCGCCTCCCTTGTAATTTCCACCCATTCGATCTAGTCTTGCAATCCGGAGCAAGAGAGAATAGATCTGCTCCATCTTCTACATAACAGCCCTTCAGATATTGGAAGACTGCGATCATGTCCCCTCTAAGCCTTCTCTTTCCCAGGCTAAACAGACCCAACTCCTTCAGCCTTTCCCCGTAAGACTTGGATTCCAACCCTCTCGCCATCCTGGTTGCCCTCTTCTGGATGCACTCGTCCCTTCTTTAGAAGGTGGGCTCTGTGGCATTGTACCCCACTGAGGTCTCTGCCAAATTCTGCCCTCCTTAGACTCCACCCCCCTCCCCAATCTCCAGGTATTTCCCATCCCGGGACTTGCAATGCTAGGGAAGCCACAGCCTTCTGTTTGCAAGACCTGAGCTAGACTGTTGATGACAGGACACTTTGGAGGTTGTTAATGCATAGGTTCGTCAGAAGTCAAAGGTAACTCGGTAGCACTTAACAAACACATCCATGCTCCCTCAACAAACACACATCCATGCTCTCTCTAAGCTGCGGAGTCTTCTGAGCTACAATTCTACTTTGCGAGCTCCTGGCATTAAAGTTGTGAGCGAGCGATCTGGCTGTTGCATAACGTAAGTTTGCTCTGGAGCCCTCCTTCCTGAGCGAAGGCAAAAATCTGTGAGCCAGAAGCTAAAAAAGTGTAAGCTAGCTCGCACCCACTCAGCTTAGAGGAAACACTCCAATGTTCCCTCTAAGCTGTGGAGTCCTGTGAGCAAAAAGTCCACTTTGTGAGCTACTGGCATGAAAGTTGTGAGCGAGCGATCTGGCAGCTGCATAACTTAGTTTGCTCTGGAGCCCTCCTTCCTGAGCGAAGGCAAAAATCTGTGAGCCGGAAGCTAAAAAACCGTGCACTAGCTCACACTGGCTTAGAGGGAACACCAATCAGGATCTTCATAACACAGCCCCGAACACTGATAACCAGGGCTTTTTTTTGTAGAAAAAGTCCAGCAGGAACTCATTAGCATATTAGGCCACACACCCCTGACTGCACCACTCATTAGCATATCAGGCTGCACCCCCATGTTACCAGAAGTGTGGTCATCCAGCCACACCCACCTTTTGCTTGTTATTCGGTTTACCTTGTCTGTTGTCAAAACCCAGGGCCTTTTTTTGGAGCAGGAACTCCTTTGCATGTTAGGCCACACAACCCTAATGTAGCCAATCCTAATGAGTTCCTGCTGTTGGGTGTGGCCTATTATGCTAATGAGTTCCTGATGGGTGTGGCCAACTTGGGAGCCAGCCGGAACGCCGTTCCTGTGCGTTCCTGCCCAAAAATAGCCCTGCTGACAACACTCTTGTCAGATATCAATTAAATACATCCCCCCCCCCGGGACGGTGGGAGGGAGGAGAGACACAACTCACTGTTCAAACAGGGGTTGTTACTGCACCGGTCGATCTTTCTCTCGCAGTTGGACCCATGGTAGTTTACGGGGCAATGGCACGTGTAGCCGCCCGTCCGCTTCTCCGCACAGGTCCCGCCGTTGAAGCACGGCCCGTCGGCGCAGGTCATGGCGCTGACTTCACAGTTCTTGCCGTAGAAGCCTTGCGGGCAGGTGCATTTGTAGTTGTTCTCCAAGTCCTGCAAGAGAGGAAGAGGCCGTCATGCAATTGGGGCTTCCTGCCCAGGACGAGAGAGGTGGAGGCACCTTACTGAAAATATCCGGGAGCTGAGAATTCCCCCGTCACTGAAATAGAACTTGTGCCAAAGACATCCCCAGTAGATTGGCTCACCAATCTACTGCCACCCATTTTTTAAAAGAATGATAAGAACAGAAGAAGAGCCCGGCTGGATCAGACCAGTGGTCCTTCTAGTCCAACATCCCGTCTCACACAGAGGCCAGCCAGTTCCCCTGGAGGACCAACAACAAGGCACAGAGGCCGAGACTTTCTTAAGAACATCAGAAGAGCCCTGCTGGATCAGAGCAATGACCCATCTAGTCCAATCTCCAGTTTCGCAGTGGCCAGCCAGTTCCCCTGGAGGGCCAACAACAGGGCAGAGAGACTGAGGCCTTTATGAGACTATAAGAGCCCTGCTGGATCAGACCAGTGAGGGTCCATCTAATCCAGCATCCTGTCTTACATGGTGGCCAACCAGTTCCTCTGGAGGGCCAACAGCAGGGCAGAGAGGCGGAGGCCTTCACAAGAACCTCAGAAGAGCCCTGCTGGATCAGACCAGCGAGAGTCCACGTAGTCCAGCATCCTGTCTCACACAGAGGACAACCAGGGATTCAGAGGTTTACTGCCTCTGAACATGGAGGTTCCCTTTAGATCTACCAGCTATTAGGAGTCTTAGATAGTATCGTCATGTTTGTACAAGCAGGCAACCAGCAAAAATTACGTCTGGCAGCTCAGCTGTTGAGAACCTTACCTTAAAATTGCCCGTGCCCAAACAAACCTCAAGCCGAGAAAAAACAGCAAAAACAGGTTTCTAAAGAGCCAAGTTGGTACAAGGAGATTTGGTTCGGCTCGGCAACTTGGCTCCTGCAGAGCTCACCTTCCCTGCCAACATTTTGGCCTTAAGTAAGACCCAAAGCTCTTTGGACGAAATGGTGGCCGGCCAAAACAAGCTACCGGCTGGATGACCTTGGGCAAGCCATGGTTCTGATAAGAGCTGTTCTTGAAAAAGGAGCAGTTTGTCAGAACTCTCTCAGCCCCATGCCTACCTCACAGGGTGTCTGTTGTGGGGAAGGGAAGGGAAAAGGAGTTCGTAAGCCACTCTGAGACACCTTTGGGTAGTGAAGGGCGGGGTATCAGTCCAATCTCTTCTTCTTCTTACTGCACACAGTATCATAAGAACATAAGAGACGCCAATATTGGATCAGGCCAAAGGCCCATCCCGTCCAACACTCTGTGTCACACAGTGGCCAGAAATACCAGGGGCCATCAGGAGGTCCACCAGTGGGGCCAGGACATTAGAAGCCCTCCCACTGTTGACCCCCCCCAACCACCAAGATGACAGAGCATCACTTGCCCCAGAGTCCCTATCTATACCTTGTGGCTAATAGCCACAATCCAGAGACGACGTTGATTATGTACCTTGAGATTATGTACCTTGGTTCAAGGATTTTCTATTGAGTTGTGTATCATGTTGTAGTGCTTTAGA